TTGAGCATTCTTTGGATATATACCCAAAAGTGGTATTACTGGGTCTTGAGAAAGGTTGTTTCCTAATTTTCTGAGAACTCACCATACTGACATCCAAAGGGATTGTGCCAGCTTAAATTCCCACCAGCAATGCAGTAGTATTCCCTTTTCTCCACAACCTCTCCAGCATTAGTTGTCATCAGTGTTTTTGATCTTGGCTGTTCTTACAGGTGTAAGATGAAATCTCAGAGTTGTTTTGATTTGCATTTCTCTGATGACTAAGGATGTTGAACATTTCCTTAAGTGTCTTTCAGCCATTTTAGATTCCTCTTTTGTGAATTCTCTGTTTAGGTCTGTACTTCATTATTTTTTTTATTGGATTATGTAATTTTTTTGTGTCCAATTTCTCAAGTTCTTTGTATATTTTGGAAATCAGACCTCTGTCTGCTGTGGGGTTAGTGAAGATCTTTTCTCATTCTGTAGGCTGTCGTTTTGTCTTGTTGACCGTGCCCTTTGCTTTACAGAAGCTTTTCAGTTTCAGGAGGTCCCATTTATCAATTGTTTCTCTCAGTGTCTGTGCTGCTGGGGTTCTATTTAGGAAGTGGTTCCCTGTGCCAATGTGTTCAAGTGTACTTCCCACTTTCTCTTCTATGAGGTTCAGTGTGGCTGGCTTTATGTTGATGTCTTTGATCCATCTGAACTTGAGTTTTGTGCATGGTGATAGATAAGGATCTATTTTCATTCTTCTACATGTTGATATTCAGTTATGCCAGTACCATTTGTTGAAGATGCTTTCTTTCTTTCATTGTATACTTTTAGCTTCTTGTCAAAATCAGGTGTTCATAGGTGTGGATTAATATCCAGGTGTTCAATTAGATTCCATTGGTCAACATCTCTGTTTTTATGCCAATACCAAGCTGTTTTCATTACTGTAGCTCTGTAATAGAGCTTGATGAAGTTCCTTTATTGTAAAGGATTGCTTTGGCTATCCTGTTTTTTTTATATATGAAGTTGATTATTGTTCTTTCAAGGTCTGTGAATAATTGTGTTGGGATTTTGATGGGGATTGCATTGAATCTATAGATTGTTTTTGGTAGGATTGCCATTTTTACTATGTTGATCCTTCCTATCCAAGAGCATGGGAGAGCTTTCAATTTTCTGGTCTCTTCTTCAATTTCTATTTTCAAAGACTTCAAGTTTCTTGTCAAATAGGTCTTTCACTTCCTTGGTTAGTGTTACTCCAAGATATTTTATGCTATTTGTGGCTATTGTGAAAGGTGATGTTTCTTTGATTTCCCTCCCAGTTTCTTTATCCTTTGTGTATAGGAGAACTACTGATATTTTTGAGTTGATCTTGTATCCTGCCACATCATTGAAGGTGTTTATCAGCTGTAGGAGTTCTCTGGTAATTTTTGGGGTCACTTATATACACTATCATATCATTTGCAAATAACGAAAGTTTGACTTCTTTCTTTCCAATTTGAATCCCCTTGATCTCCTTATGTTGTCTTATTGCTATTGCTAAAATTTCAAGAATTATGTTGAAGAGATATGGAGAGAGTGGACAGCCTTGTCTTGTTCCTGATTTTAGTAGAATGGTTTTGAGTTTCTCTCCATTTAATTTGATGTTAGCTGTCGGCTTGCTGTGTATTGCTTTTTATTATATTTAGATATGATCCTTGTATCCCTCCAAGACTCTTTATCATGAAGGGGTGTTGTATTTTGTCAAATGCTTTACAGCATCCAATGAAATGATCATATCTTTTTTTCCCCATTCAGTTTATTTATATGATGGATTACATTGATAGATTTGCGTATGTTGAACCAGCCCTGCATCTCTGGGATGAAGCCTACTTGGTCATGATGGATGATTTTTTGGATGTGTTCTTGGATTCGGTTTGCCAGTATTTTATTGAGAATTTTTGTGTCCATGTTCACGAGTGAGATTGGTCCGTAATTCTCTTTCTTGATTGAGTCTTTGTGCAGTTTTGGTATCAGGGTAACTGTAGCTTCATAAAAAGTTTGGCAGTGAGCCTTCTGTTTCTATTATGTGGAAGACTTTGAGGAGTATAGGTGTTCCCTCTTCTTGAAAGTTCTGGTAGAATTCTGTACTAAACCCATCCAGCCCTGGGCTTTTTTTTTTTTTTTTTTTTTTTTTTTTTGGTTGGGAGGTTTTTAATGACAGCTTCTATCTCCTTGTTGCTTATAGGTCTATTTAAATTGTTCACCTGGACTTGATTTAATTTTGGTATACGGTATCTATTTTAAAAATTGTCCATTTCTTTTACATTTTCCAATTTTGGGGAGCACAGGTTTTTTGGGGAGTACATCATTATGACCTAATGATTCTCTGGATTTCCTCAGTGTCCATTGTTATGCCTCCATTTTCATTTCTGATTTTGTTAATTTGGATGTTCTCTCTCTGCCTTTTGATTAGTTTGGATAAGGGTTTGTTAATTTTGTTGATTTTCTCAAAGAACCAGCTTTTTGTTTCATTGGTTCTTTGGTTTTCTGTGTTTCTGGTTTTTTTTTGTTTGTTTGTTTTTTATTTTTTTCGAGACAGGGTTTCTCTGTAGCTTTGGAGCCTGTCCTGGAACTAGCTCTTGTAGACCAGGCTGGCCTCGAACTCACAGATCCTCTTGCCTCTGCCTCCCGAGTGCTGGAATTAAAGGTGTGCGCCACCACTGCCCGACTGTGTTTCTGTTTTGTTGATTTCAGCCCTCAATTTGATTATTTCCAGTCTTCTACTTCTCCTGAGTGAGTCTGCTTCTTTTTTTTTTTTTTTCTAGAGCTTTCAGGTGTGCTATTAAGTCATTAATGTGAGCTTTCTCCATTTTCTTTATGTGGGCACTTTGTGCTATGAACTTTCCTCTTAGCACTGCTTTCATAGTGTCCCATAGGTTTTGGTATGTTGTGCCTTCATTTTCGTTGAATTCAAGGAAGACTTTAATTTCTTTCTTTCTTTCTTCCTTGACTCAGGGGTGGTTCAGTAGTTGACTGTTGAGTTTCCATGCATTTGTAGGCTTTCTGGGAGTAGTATTGTTGTTGAATTCTAACTTTACCCTATGGTGATCTGATAAGACACAGGGGGTTACTCCAATTTTTTTGTATCTGTAGAGGTTTGCTTTTGTTACCGAGTATGTGATCAATTTTAGAGAAGGTTCCATGAAGTGCTGAGTTCGAAGCTAGCCTGGTCTACAGAACAAGTTCCAGGACAGCCAGAAAACACAGAGAAACCTGTCTCAAAAAAACAACAAAAAATTAAACTACATTTATTTCTTTCTGTTGTGTGTATATATGGAGGTCAGAGGACAGGTTGGAGGAATCTGTTGTCTCCTTCCACCATGCGTCCTAGGGTTGAACTCAGGCTGGCAGGACCGTGGGTGCTAATTTGATATTTTAAACAAGAATTAACCGGTTATTTTTTATAAAGTATTCCTACATTTGGGGTTATCTGTTTTTTCTCCTGACTGCATTCTGGTTAATCATTTTTTGTTCTTGGTGTATCACGTCAGGATACGGCATACTGCATGTCAGGAGGACACGGCATACTGCATGCTTTGGATAGCAGAATACAGTTTCCTGGCTGGAGGCTGTATCTTACAGTAACACTGGTTTGTCTATCGTTGTCAAACTTTTGACTATCTTGTATTAGCAACCGTTGATGATTTTGTATGTATATGTGTTCATGTATGTATTTATTTGTTCATGTCTCTGTGCATGTAGTTGTGTGAAGGCCAGAGGACCACCTCGTGTGTTTCCTCAGGAGTTGTCCACCTCATTTCACGAGACAGCGTTTTACCAGTTGGGGCAGGCTGGATCTATCTCCATCTGCCTAATGCTGGGATGGCAGACATGCTACCATGCCCGGCCTTTATGTGGGTCCTGGGGACTGAACTCAGATCCTCCTTCTGAGTAGCAAGCGCCTTACCAGCTGAGTCACTGCCAATAACCCAATGCCTCTTGCTTGAGGCAGTGATTGTTTCCCTTCCCAGCACATTCCTGGTCCTCTGTCCCGTGGAGCATTTGAAGAACCAACAAAGGTCAGAGTGGCAGGACCACAAAGATCAAAGAGAAAAGTGGCCCCAGACATGAGGAGCAGAACCATCCTCTGGCTCTGGAGTTGGGGGTGGAGAGGAGGCAGAGAGGAAGGCAGTGAAGAAATGAGGGGTGGGGAGGTAGAAGCAGCTGCCCTCTGAGACAGAGGCAGGTCAGGCTCCTCTGCGACTGTTCTGAGCTGAGCTGGAGCGCTGACAGCTGGAAAAGGCTTGCAGAGGTAAAGCAGGCATTTCTAAGCCTTTCTTTAGATGGCAGAGGCAGGGGCATCACCAGCTCCAGACCAGTCTGGGCTGCATAGGAAGCCCCTTTCTTACAAACCAGCAAACCAAAGCCCACTGTGAAGAGCCCCCCTCCTCTCTTCTCTCTCTTTCTCTCCCCTTCCCTCCTTCCCTCCCTCCCTTTTCTCCTCCTCCCTTCTTACCTGCCCCTCTCTGTATCCCAAGGCTGGCCTCAAAGTCATGGCAGTTCTCCTGCCTCAGCCTCTTGAAGACTGAGGTTTCTAGTGGAAGCCACTGTGAACTTTGGAGGCTTAGGCAAGAGGTGGCTTACAACCTAAGCCCAGTGCCACAAAAGAAGCGGCTGTGACTGTGGAGGGCCGGACCACATTCTCCATTGCTTCTAGGAACAAAGGTAGAGATTGACCTCTGCGACCTCAAGGTGTGGCGGTACACGCCTTTGGTCCCGATGCCTGGGAGGCAGAGACAGGCAGACCTCTGTGAGTTCAAGGTGATGTAGCACACGCCTTTAATCCCAGCGCACGTGCTTGTTAACTCTCTACCGCTGCGTCCCTGCCTACTCCCGAGGCATCATCTGGGATAATGGGCAGCGGACCAATCCAAGAGTGACACGTCAGAAGCGAGGACTGTTTCCTTTATAAGGGCTGGGTTCCCCTCATTCTGGGTCTCCGCCATGTGGCTTATGCTCTAGCTCCCAAGAGGATTAAAGCTTTACTGCAGAAGGATCCTAAGTGCCCCGCGTCGTTCTTGCTGGCGAGAAGGTAGCGCGGGACATGTGACAACCTCGGAGGAGATGGGATACATGAGCAGGGAAGAGAGTGACGTCCTCCTTCCCCGTCAGCTCTGGCCCAGCAAGCTTAAGTACATCCTGGCCATGATGTACCTGATGATGCTGGCTAGTCTCTGGCACTTTGTCTTACAGTGGCTTCACAGAGGAGGCTGTAAGTCTGGGAACCCAGGAGGCACAGAGAAGTGAGGCTGCCCTGGCTCCCAGTGATGACATCTGTGAGGGGTCCGGATGCTGGAGAACAATAGAAACCATGTTTCCGAGACCCAGGGTCAGGAGAAGCAGAAGTGCAGGCTTTTGAGCATAGGCCCGCAGGATAACCAGGAGGATGCTGAGGGAGAACTAGGCATCTGAGACTTCTAGGATTATAAGGAGTGTGACCAGTGAGGACTGTGGAGCCAGTAAGCCTCAAGCCCGTGGCCCGAGGGAGGCTGCTGTTGGTGAGCAGTCTTCCTGGGTTCGTGAGGAAATACAGGCACTGTGGGCCTGAGGCTCTCAGAGTCCTTCTGCCTTCTCTCCACAGGCAGCTTCCTTATAATGTACATCTTAATGTTGTTCTGGGTTGGAATTTCTCTCCTTCCTGAAGATGGCCGTTGGCTAGAGGGCACAGCATGGCAGCATTGACCTGTGAAAGACCCTGGGTCCCTGGTTTGGTGGACTGGGATACAGCATTTTCTTGGTGAGGAGCCCCAAGCTTCCCAAGCCTGCCCCCAACTGCTCCTCACCCTTCACTCCCTGCCCCTGCTCTTCCTCCCAGACACATCTCCCCGGCTCTCCAGGTGTGCTTCATCACCAACACCTACATGAATCTGTTTAACTCCTGGGTCCTCTTCTACATGAGCCGCATATTCTCCTTGGCTGCTCTACGGCAGCCCTGTCCCTTATGAAGGAACTCCAGTGGCTTTGGTGAGGAAGGAGAGGTGGAGAAACGAAGAGACCTGGGAAGAGGAGAAAATAGAAAGGAGGGGCATGAATTGGAAGACAAAAGAAAGAGCAGGGGGCTGCAGCGGGCGAAGAGGGGGGATTTGTCACGTCTAGCAGGCCTGTCCAAAGCCATGTCCTCCCAGATCCTGAATGTGAGCAGGCAACACCCTACACGTACCTTTGGTGCCGGCAGACCCTGAAAGCCTGAGGATGGAGGGGCCTCTAGCCTTCAACCTGGGCATAGCCCTCTCTCTGGCTTGGTGTCTCGTTTGTGTTTTCATGATCAGTGGGGCCAAGTCCTTTGAGAAGGTGAGTTGCACTGGGCCTTTGACCCTCTCAAGCTATGAGCTTGTTTCTCCCGAAGACGCCTCTGAGTCCCACCCCAGTCCTCAGCCACACCCAAGGGTGAGTCTCTGCTGACATACTGCACTCTGCACAGATTCCACACCACACTTCCCTATTTCGTCATCCTCTGCTGCGTCTTCCGGACTCTGCCCTCGGAGGGCACAGACGATGGGCTTAAATACCCGCTAGTTCTCAAGGCCCTTCCTCAGAGCAGCACAGCTGCCTACCGTTGTCTCCTGTACCTCCTCCCTTCGAGAGACGATGTCTCTGCTATGGTTGTCCCTTCCCAAACCTTGACGTCCCTGTTGTGCCTGCCTACCGCGCCAGCGCGGGCTGGAACCAAGAGTCTCGGCGGAGGGTGTCCAGGTTGAATGAATTCACAGAGCACGAGGTTGAGGTGGAACAGCTTTTTATTGTTCTGCTGGGGCTAGCTTTTATACCATGGCACCAAAAGAGGAGGGGGCTGCGAAGGGACTGTCACCTGACCCCAGCAGGGATCAAGGAGTGATCACCATGCACTCAAAATTCCTTTCCCAACTTCAGGAGCAGTGGGAATTTATTATATTTTCTTTGCAGATAAGCACCTCAAATGGGGGCAGGGATATGTAACCCGGGGCTGCAGTTCCACACCTGCCTCTCCTTTTCAGGTGGCAAGCATTTACGACCCAACCGTGTGGTCCCAAGCAGGGACCTAGGCTTCGGGCCCATCGTCTACTTGTCCTCACATATGCCTGACTTCAACAACTGTCTGGGGGACGCCTTCCTTATGGCCCTGATCAAGACGCTCACCTTGCTGTTCGTCATGCTCGATCCTGGGCTTCTGGGCCACCATAACCACACATCGCTGCTGCAAGAAGTAAGGCCAGTTTCCTGTTCAAGTCTAGCCTGGGCAGCTTCATAACCCATCCTCACACCTCAACTTCAGGGAGGTTAAAAGCTCTGCTTCCTCTTAGCTGAGAACATTAGAGAGTGCCCCAGGCTGCCAACGGCCACCTCAGAGCTGACGTGCTAGCAGAGGCTAAGAATGGCAGGCATGCAAAGGTCACTCACACAGAAAACAGCACCTGTGTTCACCTCTCAGAGCCATGCACATTTGCTTCCTCCGCAGGCCCTGAGCTGTGGGTTCCAGACTTAGTGTTCTCTGCCCATCTGGCAAAGCTAAACTCCAAAGGGTTAGGGAACAAGATTCTCTCCTGGCTGACACCGACCAGCAGCTCTTCCTCTTGTCTCGGTCTTATTGACACATTCCAATCCCGTGAGTTCACTGGGTACATTGTGATACACTGCACATTGCATACTGATAAAATCAGAGTGTGTGTTGACCACACTGTCACCTCAGACCTTAGTCTTTCTCTGTGGTGACAACAAAGATCCCTGAGGACGTTTTGCGTTTTGAGACAGGGTCTCCCTATCTAGCCCAGGCTAGCCTTGAACTCCTGATTCTCCTTCCTTCTACTTCTCGAAGCTTGGCTTGCAGCTGTGTGTCACCATGCCCAGCTCTTGTCGTTATTTTTATCCCTTTAAAGGGTCTCTTATTTGTTTATTCATTGTGTGTGCACGTTTTGCCTGCCCAGACTATGTATGCCATGTGTAGACCTGCTGCCTATGGAGGTTAGGAGAGGGGGTGTCAGAGCTGAAACAAGTTACCAACGGCTGTGAGCCAGCGTATGGATGCTGAGAGCTGAATCTGGGTCCTCTGCAAGAACAAGTGCTATTAATGGCTGATGCATCTCTCTGGCCCCCTTGTCATTTTAATTACGTAGCACACTCTGATTAACTGTAAGCACCCTACCTTGTGAGAGACCTGGAGCCGGTCCTGCTGTTCTGCTGCCATCAGAGCTTGGTGCCACCCATGAAGTGCCCTTTGCCACCATGGAATCGTCAGTGCCTTTCTTGCTTTTATTGCCTTTTCCAGCCCCGAGGGGAGAAGGAGTGAAGAATGGAATACGAAGCCATAAACTTCTGGTAACTGGTAATGCGAGTTGAGAGGAGATAGGGCCTTTTCTTGAGCCCGGGAGAGTCAGAGAGGCCTTCCAGAGAAGGCAAACCTGAGTTGCATTTCTCCCTAGTAACCCCAATCTCCACAAGTGACTGTCATTTTCTTCTGGAAGCTGGTGTTGTGTGACTTCTCCTGAGTACGTACACAGATATTTGTTCACCCTAGACGGGAACTGAGCATAGGCCAAGCGGGTTTCACCCAAGTCTGGCTGGGTCACTCGCGGGAGCATGGTGAGAGCTTACCTACAGGAAAACAAGCGGCTTCGAGGCAGCACGGTGACTGGAGAGCCACGTGTGGGTGACACCTTGCATCCCTGCAGCTTCCTGGACCTCCTGTTGGCAGTTCTGGGAAGAGTCCTCTGCCCAGCAAGTGTGGCTGTGTGCATAACCTTGGGGAGGGGTCTCATGTGTCTTGGACCTTTTGGGACTTCCAGTGTCCCCCAAGTTTGGTTAGCTTCCTGAGTCCTGTGATCCTCCCTTGGTGTGCTTCTGTTCAGGTTCACAGAAATTAGCCCCATGACACCTGGCACACATGCACTCCTGGCCTTACGCAGGGTTCTGTATGGCGGATGCAGCTGTTCCTCGAAGACCTCAGAGCTAACCTGCAGCCGCTCCATCCTTCATGTAAGGTACTCTTGCACTTACCCATTCCCACCGTGTCTCCCTGTAGACAGAAATCACCCCAGGACGGCACAGCCCCAACACATTGCCGCTGTGAGGAGATTTCTCCCTGTACGGCATCCCTTTGTAGCCCAGACTGCCTTGGAGCGCACACGCTTTCTTCCTCTCTGAGCCGGCTGTCTGCTAGGCTCGCAGGTGGATGCCATCACCCAGCTGTCGGGAACGGTCTGTACTTGTTTAGTACAGAATGTGTCTAGTCACACGGACACACCAGCGATATCATAAAAATGCGGGCTTCAAGGATGCAGAGCTTCCACCTGTGCGGTCAGAGCAAGCCTTAGCAGCTGGACAGGGTCCGCTCCAGGTCTGAGGGCCACAGTGATGTAATCAGAATTTCCCTCCCAGCCGGGAAATGGGAGAAGCCATCTCTCGGTTTGCACAGCATTTTATTCAACTTGGCTGGATGGCTTAATTTTGCAAGTCTGATACGCACACATACAATAACATATTTGTGTTATTTGTTTAGCTGTTTGGCTAGTATTGAAGTATGAACTTGATGTGGGGATGGACTGTCGTGGCCCACATGTGGAGGTCAGAGACTCTTTGTGAGGACAGTGCTGCCCTTCACCTTCACGTGGGTTCCGGGGATTGTCACCAGGCCTGTCCAGCAGGTCCTTTACCCACTGACGCTTCTTCATGACCACTGTGTTGTGTTTTGTTCGGCTGGGTTTTTTGTTCATTTGTTTGTTTTTCAAGACAGGATTTCTCTGTGTAGCCCTGGCTGTCCTGGAACTCTGTAGTCCAGGCTGACGTCGAACTCACAGAGATCTGCCTGCCTCTGCCTTTGCCTCCCGAGTGCTGGAATTAAAGGTGTGCACCACCACCACCCGACTTATCTTCTTGTAAGAATAAAACTGTTAACAAGGGGCTGGAGAAATGCCTCAGCAGCTAATAACCCTTGCTGCTCTTCCAGAGGACACAGGTTTGAATCCCAGCACCCATGTTAGGAGGCTCCCAGCTGCCTGTAACTCCTGGGCATCTGATGCCTCTTCTGCCTTCTCCGTCTACGTATGCACTGAATAAATGAATATGGAAAGTAAACAGCGGTACACCAAGATATCCTCTCCCCCATCCCCCCAGGATCCTCCCCCGCCTTTTTTTTTTTTTTTATTATTTTTGAGGCAGGGTCTCTCTTCCTGGCAGTTCTAGAGCTCACTATGTACAGACGTGAGAAAGGCCCCGCCTTCAATGTCACAGTGAGCCAGACACTTGCTGCCAGTCCTCCCACGGAGCAGGGAAAGTGCAGAAGGCTGTTGTTTAGCAAATGAACAAAAGAAGGGGCAATTTGAAGTTTCCACTAGGTTGTATCCATAAGGCAGCCTTAGCTGTAACTTAAAGCACAAGCTTTGACTCTGATTATCCACAGGAACAAGACTTGAGTTCCAAGAAGTCTCTTTCCAAAGCCCCAGTCCAGAGGATCTCACCTCAGCCCTAGGCTGTTAAAATCTTCATGACTAAGCCTGGTCTACACTGTAGGTCCTACCAGGTCCTCAGAGCCGGAGTCAGGAGGGTCACAGCTTCAAGGCCAGCCTGGTCTACACAGTAAATTCCAGGACAGGCAGGGCTCCTTGGGGAAATCCTGTCTTAGAAAAACCAGTAAATAAATAAATAAATAAATAAATAAATAAATAAATAAATATTTAAAAGCGGTGAAGGTTGGAGAGGTGGCTCAGCGATTTCTTAATCGCACTGGCTGCTCTTGTGGAGTACCCACATTCAGTTCCCACAACCCACACTGTGGCTCTCAACTACCTGTGCTCCAGTTCCGGAGACTTTGCCACCCTCTGCTGGCAAAACACTCATGCACATCAAATAAAAGCATCTTAAAAAACTAAAAATATATACACAGAGTGAAAAGGGCTGGGGTGTACCCAGTGGTCAATGTAGACCACTGCCTATCACGAACACGGCCCTGGCTGACTCCAAGCACTCTAGGCTGGGTGTCCAGAGACGGAAGTAGAAGATTCTCAGTGAGTTCAAGGCAAGCCAGGTCTACATAGCAAGTCCTAGGCCAACCAAGACCACAAAGAGAGGTGAATGAATTTCACATTCATTTTCCTGTCTCAAAAAAGAAAAAAAAAAGATTCATTTTTATTGTTTTTTTAAATTGTGTGTCAGGACTATGTTCATGTAAGCGCAGTGCCCACAGGATCCAAAGGGCATCGGATCCCTAGAGCAGGGGGTTACAGGCAGCTGTGAGCCAGACATGGGTGCTCGCGTAGAAACAGCACGTGCTCTTAACTGCTGAGCCATCTTTCTGGCCCCCGAGAGCCAGGGCATTAAAAACAGGAGCAATAGATAAATAAAATAAACAACAAAATTAGTAAACAAAGGAAAACAACCAAAAGCTGATTTTAAAATAAACCGTAGGTAGCCGGGAGGTGCTGCGTACCTTTAGTCTTAGGCCTGGGGAGGCCAGCCTGGTCTACAGAGCGAGCTCCAGGACAGCCAGGGCTACAGAGAAACCCTATCTCAAAAAACCAAAAGGAAAAAAATTACAAAAGATTAAAAATATCTTTCAGCTTAAATGATTCACAATGAGTATGCGAATAACATACAGCTAAGTATGTAGCTGTCTTGTCTCCAGAAGAGCATCCTCTTTTAGTTTCTGGGACACGATCAACCTTTCACGAAGCTTGCTTCCTGCTCTTGGCAAGGGCTCTGGTCAGAGTCAAGGTAACAGCAGTTCTTTGACTTAGTACAACTTGGGACTCTCACACGCTTCAGTCTCCGAAGTGTAGAGTTTAGATGGTTTTTCCCTACTCGTCTCAGAAAAGCTGGTGAAGACTAGGCCCACGAATCCCTATGAAGTCCACGCTCCCCAAGGGCATACATTCTTCACGGCCCCGGAAGTGGGCGTCCTCCGGACTTCTCTGCAGGCTGTCCTTTACCGTTAGTAATATTGGACTCGAGATCTCTCTCATCTGTAAGATGAGCAAGGGAAGGACGGTGTGCCAAGGGCCTGACGGTTCTAATTCATCCATCCTCAGGAACACAGAGACAGTTATGATGCTGGTAGCCCAGGGGATCCTGCCTCCTGAGGTGCAGCCCCCTGACCTGACGAACAACCCGACCTCCACCTACAATTCCTGGCTCAACAGCCTCCTGCCACCCGTGAGGAGCGCCGTCCTCAGCAAGGTGCCCAAATGCAACATCCAGAAGCATTTTCTGAAGGTCAGTGGAGATGGCCCAGAGCAAGGAGATGCTGGAGAGTCCGCTCTGCCCCACAGAGTTCGGCTCTCACTAGTCCTGGAGAGAGATGTGGGTAACGTAGGAACGCAGTTGCAGTAGACAGAGCCCCTTCCCCGGACTGCAGGGGCGGGGTTCTGCTGCGTGAGCCAGGACTCAGGGCTGTGGGGAACCGTGAGAGGAGGTCCAGAAGGCACTTCACTTCTCCGTCCTTGCGGAGAGCCCCGGCTTTGTGTTCCTGACCTTCGCTGAGGTCATCTCTCTGCTCCCCGGGTCGTCCTTCTGAACTGTGCTCTTTTTCCTGCTGCTGTGAGTCTGAGTTTGTGTGCCATGGTGACGTCCATGCTGGGCATCATCATCATCCCACTCCAGGACACCTTCTTCTTCAGGAGACAGCCAAGGACTCTCACAGGTCCTTCCATCTTTGACCCCACTCTCCCGCAGCCCTAACACCAGCTCTGGCTTAGGATCTCCCTTTAGTCCCATCTTCTCCCAGATATCTGCTCGAGACGCAGACCTAATGCTTCCTCCAGTGGGTGCTTCCGTGGTGATGTTCCTGTGCGGCCTCGTCTTCATCCAACCTTCAGGCATCTATTACTTTTGACTACTGAGTGAATACTGGGTCGCCCTGCCCATCATCAGCATCATCATGTGTGAAAACCTTGCTATAGCCTGGGCTTACAAGGCCAAGAGGTGAAGGCCCGTGCCAGGCCCCCGGAGCATGGATCTTTTGGGAGGGTTGACAGCTTTCCTGTTGTGTCTAATGTCAAGCCAGAGTGTCACAAGAGCCCTTAACGTCAAGGCCTCTGAGAAATGTTGGTTTCATGTGCTTCAGGGACACTGCATAAAGTCAGGTTAGCACTGTGTTCAGGGCCTTACTTTCTAGTGGGATAGACACAGCAGCAACACTGACAGACACGGAGCCTGTGAATGGCAAGCGAGGCGGGGAGGAGGCTCAGCAGGTCAAGTCCTTGGTGTGCGAGCATCCGAGTCTGTGCTCTCTTCCTAGAACCCACATAAGTGGTCATGGCGCCCATTTTAGTACTGTGAGGTGAAAGCAGAGGGCACCAGGGCCTTGACAGCCAGACAGTAGAGCTTCAGGCTCAGCGAGAGATTTGTCTTGGGAAAATCCAGTACAGGGCGGCAGCAGGAGCTGCTGATGCCCCGCTCTAGCTCCCCTTTTCCTGTCCATGTGCACAGAACAAAAGACAAGAAACCATAGGCCATTGGTCCAGAGACAGTGTGTGTGGTTCGGACGGGTAGTAAAGAAGGCCTTGATGGTAGGGTAATGTGTCCGAAGACTCCTAAGTAAAATAAGGGAGGAGCCATGATTGTGTATGTGGTGTGCATGTATATATATGTGTGTGAGTGTTCTTGCATGTGTGTACACCAGAGGAAATATCCTGCTTGAAGCTTTGAAGGAACGAGGGATCCAGGGAAGCTGGAATAGAATTAGGAGATTGGGGGCAGAAGATGGGGCCTTGTAAACCATGATATGACCTAGCCTTGTGTGGAGTGTGTATCACAAAACACTAAATGGTTTCAGTAGGGAGCACCATCATCAGCTTAAAAACAAAATAGGGACAAGGTCTCACTATATTCTCCTGACTGTCTTAGAACTTGCTATAGACCATGTTGGCCTCACAGAGGGGTCTGTCTGCCTCTACTTCCCAAGCGCTAGGACTAACGGTATACACCACCATACATATACTTTATGAAGGCACCTCTGGTGGCCCTGGAGGCCCAAGCAGAGCCAAGGAGGGGGAATTGGGAGCTGTGTAAGATTACAAGTAAGAGCCAGTAGTGATTCGGGCTAGCGTGATGTGGTGAAAGAAGCCAGGTGTGGTGGCACTCGGGAGGCAGAGGCAGGGGGATCTCTGTGAGTTTGAGGCAGCCTGATCTACAGAATGAGTTCCAGGACAGCCAGGGGTATGCAGAGAAACCCTACTCCAAAAAACCAAAACCAAAACCTGGGTCAGGAGAGTGGCCTGGCCCAGGAGCTAAGGGCTGGAGTGGAACTGGGCAGCAGGGTCAGCCTCCAACCCAGGGTCCTCTCCTGTGCTGTCCAGATCTGAAGTGTGTGTGTGAATCCTCAGTGTCCATCTTGTGGGGCTACTCTGCAGGCTCTTGGAGCAGGCCTGCACACCCAGGGGCAGCTCTAGTCTGCTTTGGTCTCCGTATTTCAGCCACCATGGATGGAGCCAGCTCTGTGGTCATTTCTTCCCCGTCATGATGGGTCCTTAGGGTCAAGGCCATGTAAACCTTTCTTCCTTTAAGTCTCTTTGTGTCAGGTCATTTGTGAGAGCAGCTCAAAGCTTGGCAGGGCGGGCACGACAGCCCAGACTTTAATTTCAGCATTCCGGAGGTAGAGAGAGGTGGATCTTGGTGACTCCACGGCCAGTCTGACCTACACAGAGACCCTATCTCCAGGAAGAAGTAACTAATAAGGCACACAAGTGGTGTAGCTCCAAGGCAGCTCCAAGGTGCTAGAAGTGGCATTTGCAAATGGTCCTTAGAGTCTGTTTCCCCTCACTAACTCACTTTAAAATTATTTTTGAAGTCTGCATTCCAGCACTAACAGACTAAGTGTGTGTGTGTGTGTGTGGACCTCTGCACATAACCAGGGCGAGCCCCAGCAGAGTTGTGTGGCTGGTGTGTACTTCTGCACATAACCAGGGTGAGCTCGAGTAGAGTTGTGTGGCTGGTGTGTACCTCTGCACACTACCAGGGTGAACCCCAGCAGAGTTGTGTGGCTGGAAAACAAGGGTCCCAGCTGCTTGAAAAGAGATATTGACATCTCCCCGCCAAGACAGGGTTTCTCTGTGCAGCAGCCCTACCTGTCCTGGAACTCCCTCTATAGACCAGGCTGGCCTCGAACTCAAGAGATCCGCCTGCCTCTGCCTCCCGAGTGCTGGGACTAAAGGCATGCACCATCACTGCCCGGGTTTCATGGTCGAATCTGTTAGATAACTGCCCAGCTAGGACAGGCCAGATGACTCCAGAACTGACCTGATAATTACTTTCCAGGTAACCAGAGACCTGGAAGGTTCTGGATAGCAATGGTTGCATTCCCAGAGAGTCAGAGAATGGATGTTCTCCAAACGTGTCGAGTCGGAGATTTGGGATTCCCAGCCCACACTTGCACTCTGAAGACAGGGAGATCTTTGAGGGCTTGAGGAGAGCAGGAATGGAGTGGCTCCTCCCACCAGCAGGCAGTCTCCTACCTGGGTCAGAGCCTATTTCTTCAGCCTCCTTCCTTCTGCCTCAGTCTAGTTCCAGCTTTGGGGTTGCGATTGTGGGAACAGGATTACAAAGCACAGTTTGAGGGTTTGGAGGAGCTGGTGCGTGGGACAAAGACTTTGCTGACGCCCTCACACCAACACGGAGCTGGTGCGTGGGACAAAGACTTTGCTGAGACCCTCACACTGACACTTGCTCATGGTCCTTGGTCACATAGCCACAAGACTGCCTGGGAATAAATCCTGAGCAACAGGGAAGCCAAGTTCTGTCCTAGGTTCCCAGATAACTCTGGGATTCTTTTTGTCTCAAGCCAGTTTCCTAGCACCCGTGGATGTAACTGAGCTTTTCATTTGCTCCTAGGAACCTCCAGCCTCTGAGCATGCGCTTCAGCCTTCTCCTCTGGTGTTACTGTCATAAGGGCCCTCTCCCCCCCACCCACTCAAGGCATGATGGCTTCTTGTTCCAGTTATTGTCATTCTGGTGTTGTTTCTGAATATATCTAAAGGAGGAGTGTCGGGGGCCAGCCTCGACAAAAATACCTTTCTTCCAGAGTGGAGGCGTGGGAATTTAGAAATACAGTAAAGAACACGAAGATGTGAACAAAAATAATAAAACACAGTGAAAGAGCACCCGGAGGGTGTCTCACATGCGTGGAGACCCGTGCCCAAGAACCAGGTCCGAGAGCCACTGGATGCAAGAACAAGAGGCAAACTTTAATGTTCACAGGCCTGTGGGTGCTGCAGTCACATGGAGAACTGAGCACCCCGAGCTACGTCTTGGGGTATCTTTATATAGGCAGAAGCAATGTTACAGAAGCAAAAGCGCGGTTACAGGAGTCCCATTGGTCAGTTTGAATGAGGCGAGGGGTGAATTTGAGGGCAGGCCTCGTGGTCCTTGGCCAGGATCAAAGAAACCAGATAACTGACCTGTCCCTATCTCAAGCATATATGGTCAGTCCTTTGAAGTCTTTGTTTCCCCCTAGGCCAGATGTCTTGACCATAAATTCCCTGTCCTGCAGCCTGTTAAGGCTGTCCTGGGTATCTCACCAGATGTCTGACCATAAATCCTCTGTACTGCAGCCTAATAAGGCTGTCCTCGTTCTGACCTCAGGTATCCTGCTTTGCTCAGCATTCGGGGGCCCTTCTCTGAACTGAGCTTCTTTGCAAAATGACATAACTGTGACTAAAATGAGTTGGGGTCCTTCAACAGAAACACATAGGACAGTTGTAATGAATTAATTAAAAATGCTGCTGGATCTCCGATGACTGCCGTGGCCGAAATGCTGCAGGTCTCCAAGTGGCAGCAGTGAGCAGTGGGTCCAGAGAGCAACCAGTCGAGAGACAGACAGACAGGCATGCCACAAGACCACATCTCAGGTCTTTGAAGGCGGCTGGTCCTGAGCAGGGAGCCACACTGCAGGCGAGAGATGAATAGGCACGCCATGCAGAGTGAGGTTGGAGATTTATTAAGTGGGTTATGGAAGGGAAGGGAGAAGGGGGAGAGAGAGGGACACACACACACACACACACACACACACACACACACACACGGAAGCTGCCTCTTCAAGAGAGAGATGGAAAAGGAAGGAGCTCAGGCTGTAAGCACAAAGGAAGATCTGCCTGCCTCAGCAGAGGGGGGAGTGGGCATGGCTTGTCTCTTAAAGAGACAGGACAGACCATTACAATATTATCAGGAGGGAATTTCAGTGAGTACTGAAAATTCGCTCGTGTTTAATTCCCAACTGGTTAATATACCCCTGATTTCAAAAGGTAGGAGCAGAACAAAAGGACTGCATTAACACACAAATTGAAAGTCATGGGGTATGGTCACCGCTCATGCCCTTGACTCATGCCATAGACCAAACACTGTAGGCAAACCACTCCCTGGGTGGAATGTGGAATCCCAAGTTATTTCCATAAAGGGAACTAGAACTCAGTTGGATCGTTAGACTTTTGTTTTAGGTAGGAACCAATTACTTCCCTATTTCAGGAGCACAAGGTCTGGCAACTAGCCACACCTGTTTACAACAGCCTCAGAGAGCAGAACTTTGATTTACAACTAGGCGGGACCTTTGTTTGAGTTAGAAGCACAATAATCTCAAATGAACTAACAAGTCCCAAAGTCTCTGACCTTTGGCCTCTTTGAGCCTTCACAGAGGAGAGTGAGGGATTGCCTGTGCTCACTGAGTGGCCTGTCCCTCCCACTCAAAACCAAGCTGCCTTCCACATGCTTCCACATCATTTTGAAGCAGATGTCAACTTGATCATTTCAGCTGTAGACATGCTGGTGTGCATCTTAACGCTCTTAAACTCTAACAAAAGTAATACTGACCAAAATAAATAGCACTTACTTGATATCAGTAAATATGAACACATAAAATTTCCCCATTATGTGATTTTTTGGGTAGCTTTTTAAATTTTTTTTCTTTTCACATTTGCTGTTTTACATTTACATCTGAGAGTGTGAGTGTTGTAATAGTTTAGTGGCAGAAGGCAACCTTGGCGGGTTGGAGCCAAGAGGTACCACTTAGGATTCCAGCATTATACTGACCCTGCCCCCTGGCAGCCCACCACCCGGCATTCAGGCACCTAGCCAGTCTGGGGGCCCTATGACCCTACATCTTCTGTCATGCATTGCGTTGCTGCATACGGCTCTGTACACATGTGCAAGCTTCCCCATTTAAGTAAGCTCCACTTGCCTGTTTGTCATTTTCGCCTGCTCCCCTCTTGGGAGACCACACTTCCTCCCACTTCCTTCCCTGTACCCCGTCGTGGGTTTGTTGAGCTCTGTGGTTCATTTCTCGCCGTCGAAGTTTCAGCCTACCACCAACAGACAGCATGCAACAGAGTTCACGTGGGAGGTTTCTTCGGGGAGGTGCAGAGGGGGCCTGAATAAGAAAGGGGGGGGGAGAGGGAGAGAGAGAGAGAGAGAGAGAGAGAGAGAGAGAGAGAGAGAGAGAGAGAGAGAACACGAGAAGGGCTTGCCTTTTGTCAGGGGATGTAGCGCATGCGCACAGGGACAGTGCCCTACTTAGTGGTTGCAGTAGCTACAGTGTCACACTTTGGCTCCTGCTGCTGCTGCCGTCTCCCTCTAGGTCCCTGAGAGCAGGCCGGTGTAAATGCCTGAATGCTAACAAGTGTGCATGCGTGGTTATATAAATGCCCAGGGCTGTGTGGAAATCCAAGGATGCTTGTGAGAGCTGGTTTACCTCCGAGCATGGCTCAGTGGGGCAGGGCTTGTCCAATATGCGCAATGCCTTGGCTTCCATCCCCAGTACTGACAAAGAAGAAAGGAGGAGGAGAAGATGGAAAGACAGACTAGATTTGGGTCAGCAAGATAGGTCTGTGGGTGAAGGTGCTTGTTACCAAGCCTGGTGACCTGAATTCAATCCAGGCACTACATGTTTCTGCTTTCTGAGGCAGGGTCTCATTGCTGCCCAGGCTGACTTTTAATTTGCAATCCCCTTGCCTCAGCCTCCTAAGTGGCTGGAATGACAGGCCTGCATCACCAGCCCTGAAAAGCTGATGTATTTCTTATGAATCAGTAGTTAAACTCACAAGCTGATTAATTTTACATTCAACTTTTAAAAATGTTTATTATCCATATTGGTCATATATAATACCAGGTCTTATGACATTCTCTTATGTGTGTGCCGTGTTCTTTACTCAACCTTCAGTTCCCTCTCCTGTCCCCCCCTCTGGTTTTCATCTCCCTCTCCTGTCCTCCCCACTGGTCCTCATCTCCTTCTCCTGTCCTCCCCACTGGTCCTCATTTTCCTCTACTGTCCTCTCCACTGGTCCTCATTTCCCTCTCCTGTCCCCCCCACTCCAACTGGTCCTTTTCCCCTTCTCAACTAGGCCACCCCCTACTTTCATGTCCTTTTTATTTCTTAGTGACCTAAAGAGTTTAATTAGTTTTATTTTAGGAGCACGGGTGAGGGGTTGAAGGCTCATGGGCGCCTTGCCAGTGGCTACACTTTTGTTCTTTAAAAAATAATAATTCTGGCATGACCACAGCTGCTAGTCCAGGCAGAGATGGCTAGAGCGGTGCAGGTTCCCCGCGGTGAGCCGCAGAGCTGGCGGGAGTGCGTTCTGGACAGGCTGGTACCAGCCATGCGGCCGGGAGAGTCAGGCGGGCGGGTGACCAGGTGGCGGAGAAAAGACTTACAGGACATAGTAAATAGACGCAAGGCTAAACATAAAGGTAAACATTTATTACTTAAAGAAGATGGAGAGAAAGAAAGGCAGGAATAGAAAAAGAGAGGGGGGGGGAACACGTGTGCACACGCCAAGAGGGGGAACAGAAGGAAGGTTAAGATGGCAACAGAGAGATCAGAAGTGGCTGGGAGTGGGTGTGACTTGCCCCTTAAAGGGACCAGACCAAAAGAATAACACCACACCATTGAGGAAAATGTCTCTCCCTCTGCCAGCAACCATTAACTGTCTAGAAGGCCTCAGCCAGAGGGGGGGGGGGGCTCATGCGTGGCTCCCTGCTGTGCCAAGTGTTCAGTTCACCAGAGTCTGCAGAAGAGGCAGGGTCACTCTAGGAAGGTTTTGGAGTCAACTGCTGGTGAACCCACTGACTAGCTTTGCAAAAGATTTTTTTTTTATTGTTACACAATTTAAACCTTTTAGCAAGTCCACACACCAAAACCTCTTACCCGAAACTCCCCAGAGACAAATGCCAAAGCAACTCCCAGTCCCAGGACGCCTCAGTTTGCAGAGTCCTCTCACAGGCAAGTGCTGCATAGGCTTTGAATCCCTAGGAAGCTCTCAGGTAAGATTTACATCCTTCAGACAGAAGGTAGGACAGAAAAGGCAGATCAAAGCCAGGTGCTCACACTGGGACTGGATGTCGGTGGGCCCAGTAGTGCTCAGGTGCTCCGCAGGCATTTGCAGTGCAGCGGCTGTGAGTTCAGAAAGCAGAGCATGCCATGGTAACCCATTCTTCCTCTCCCCATAGTCAAATGAGATTTTCTAACTTATCCACTATGTGAATACATGGCTCCTGCCCCTTGTTGCTGCTTTTTTTCCCTGCCTGCTTCATGCACACCGTCTGTCAGTGATGAACTCACAGACGCCCCCTCTGCAGCTTTGCGAGGCCAGACACAGCAAAGAAGATGAATTAAGAGGCAGGTGAGGTGGCTTAGCAGGCAGAGACATGTGCCACAAACCTGCCAACCTGAGTTTCCTGGGAACAAGATGTTGAAGCTAAGAGCTCTGACCCAGCAAGTTGTCCTCTGACCTCCGTATTTCTTGCTGTGACTGGATTCTGCTGTGAACACAAATATGCACACACACACACACACACACACACACACACACACACACACACACACAGAGTTTTGTTTTGCTTTGTTTCTGTTTCGAGACAGGGTTCCTTGTAGCTGTAGCTGTCCTGGAACTCACTTTGTAGACCAGGCTGGCCTCTAACTCACCAAGATCCACCTACTGCTGCCTCCTGTGTGCTGGGATTAAAGTGTGCACTACTGGGGAAATTTAGACCTCCCAGTCTCCCTTAGCAGGTGATGCTGAAGGTTGGTGGACCTCACTGTAGCAGCGTGGATTAGCTGTTATTAGAAGTCTGAGTAGATCTCCTCTCTCGGCCCATGTGGCCCCTGCTCCTCTCAGGTCTATTCATCCTCTGTTCATACTCTGAACCCTAATACTCAGATCCTTGGCTCCCCTTTAACAGCGCCTTTGCCAGCACTACTACTATTTTGGGGGGCAGGGCTAGGGGTTAAGAATTGTTCATCTAGAATTTCATGAGATGTCCTTACAATTCTAAATTTGGAGACCCTGTTTTTATTTTTAGTTCTAAAAAAAAATCTCACATTTCATCAAGTAAGTTCAAAAATAAGATTTGGATCTACATGCTCTAACTCATTAACATCATTAATCTTTATCTTCTCCCTCACCCCTCTCTCTCTCTTTCTCTCCTCTGACTGTCTTCCTTCCTTCCTTCCCTTCCTTCCTTCCTTCCTCCCTCCCTCCCTTCCTTCCTTCCAGGCGAGCCTGGAACTCCCAGACCTTTACCTCTCCAGCGCTGGGATAATAAGTACGTGACCCTCCACCCTTAGCAGTTTTCCTGGCATCTTTTTCCCTCCTTCATGTGCTTGTGTGAAATCTAACTGGCAACTGGTGACCTCACTCAGCCCACGATCTAATCCTCCTGGCAACTGGTGATCTCACCAGCCAACACCGTAAAATCCGGCAACCAGTTATTTAGCTCAGCCCACACCGAGCCAGAGTTACCTGGCACCCGGGGGCTTCTCGGGTCAGCGCGGGACAGAGGGAAGTAACGGCTCCCCGCGCGAGCTGCAGGTCATCGGGCTGTGGCTCCCTGAGTGGGTCTCACAGCCACCTCCGCTGAGGTCCGCGGGTCGCGCGCCTAGGCGGGTAGGGACCGCTGTGCCCTTCTCAGAAGCCAGCCTCCCCAATTGGGAGAGGCGCTCTTCCTGTCCGCAGAGGGGACCGCTAAAAGGATGCTGTAGGCGGGGCTGTCTTGGAGGACCTGCAAACGGACCCTAGATTGTGAGCAACCGTAAAAGACACATTTTTAGGTTGGGCGTGTCAGCACACTCCTTTAATCCCAATACTGCAGTTGCAGAGGCAGGAGGATTTCTGAGTTCGAAGCCAGCTTGATCTACATAGAGAGCTCTGGGATAGCTAAAGCTATACAGTGAGACCCTATCTCAGAATAATTAGACTCACTCTTTTAATCCCAGCATTCGGGAGGCAGAGGCAGGCAGACTGCTGGGAGTCCGAGGCCAGCCTACTCTATATAGCCAAGTTCTGAGACAGTCAGAGGTACATAGAGAGACCCTGTCTCAAAATAATAAATAAGTACGTCATAGGAAATTACACGTGATAATAGAAGAAAATATGTAGAATTTATGAGAAATTCATATAGTACCTATGAGATGTTAATACATAGTCTTGTGTATGATAATAATCACCAATAATATACTATAACAAAAGATTCCCTGTTCTCAGTGTTACAGAATAAAAAAGTTATGTGATATAAGTTTATAAGTTTAGCTGCCTCTCCCTCCGAAACCTAAAAGGAGCAAACATTTAACATGAAGGATTTGGCAGTGGGGTCTTTTTGTTTTGTTTTGTACTCTTGAGACAAAGTCTTGCTGTGTAGCCCAAGTTGGCCTTGAACTCTTGAACCTTCTGTCGGCCTCAGGAGTTCTGGTGTGCTGGGTGAGCTACCACACCCAGCTAAAATCATGGTATCTTTTGAATGTTCACAGTATCTACAGCAGGCACAGGCGCACGCAGCAGACTGTAGCTTCAACTCCAGGAGATATGACCTCCACAGGCACCCGTACTCGTGTGCACCCCTCCACACACACACAATTAAAACATAAATCAGCCAGGAGGCACCTCAACCAGCAAGTAGCACTCTCTCTTCCCAAAACTTGCTGGATGGCTCCTGCTCTGTTCCCAAACAGGATGCTGGCTGCACTCAACCTACAGAAGAGGCCCAGAGGCACTTCCTAGCCAGAGAAAGCCTGGAATCTGCGATCCGGGAACCAGAGCGTGGCACAGCCATTTACAGCCGGGTGTGTGGTAGCCAGCACTGTGACCACTCCGGCTCTGGGAAGTTGTTAGTGTGTAAAGTGCTGTTAAAACCCTCGCTGGAGAGGGCACCCCTCTGAGTGCCAGTCTCAGTGCTCCCTCGGGGTTCAGGCTGGACGCTTACAGCAAGCAGGAGCTGGTTAAAGAGATCTGATGTGTCTTGTCTTCTCGGTGTCTTCATTCAAGAAGGTTTCCCGTTCCCACAAGGCTTCCAGACACAATTAGCAATTCTCTGGCAATAGCAAGGCATGCGTTTGACAGGGCCATGAAGACAGACATGTCTCAGAGGGGGCGTGGGTGTGAGGCTCCCAGCAGACACTGGGAGGATTAGTTCAGGAGGGTTTTCCGTGCGCTAATGGCATTTCATAAGCTGGAAGTTTAGGAAGAACAAATGTGGAGAAAAGGAAAGAAAGCTCAGCGCGGCTGTGCATTTTCTTCTGCTTCCTTCTGCTGTGACTGGGACACAGCATCGTGGAAACCATGGCAACCAGCGTGCAGGAGGAAACCAGGTGGCACCTGATCTCCATTAGCATTTTTGCTAAATGGAAACCTCTCGGCACTAGATCAAAGGGAAAACCTGGTGTCCTGCTGAGAAGGAATTCCTTTCTTTGGGGCTGATTGAGAACACACACACACACACACACACACACACACTCACACACACACACACACACAAATGAGTATAAACTCACAAAAGAGAAAAAAAACAATTGTTTTCATTACTTAAGATTTACTTTTATGCTGGGCAGTGGTGGCGCATGCCTTTAATCCCAGCACTTGGGAGGCAGAGGCAGGTGGATCTCTGTGAGTTCGAGGCCAACCTGGCAGCCTGGTCTACAAAAGCTAGCTCCAGGCCAGGCTTCAAAACTACAGAGAAACCCTGTCTCAAAAAACAAAAAACAAAACAAAACAACAAAAAAAAAACAACAAAAGAAAAGAAAAGAAAAAAGAAAGAAAGAAAAAAAGGATTTACTTTTATTGCTAGGCTATGGGGGCACTGCCCTTAATCCCAACACTTGGGAGGCAGAGACAGGTGATCTCTGAGTTTGGGTCCAGCCTGGTCTACGAGTGAGCTCCAGGACAGTCAAGGTTGCACAAGGAAACCCTGTCTCAAAAAAACCAACCAAACAAAAATCCAAAATGTACTTTTATTTTAAATGTTTGTGGTGTGTGTGTGTCTATGTATGAGTGTGTGTATGCCTAGGTATAGTCATGTGCACATGTGTGTGTGTCTATGTATGAGTGTGTGTGTCTAGGTATAGTCATGTGTACATGTGTGTGTCTGTATGGGTGTGTGTATCTAAGTATAGTCATGTGCACATGTGTGTGTCTGTATGGGTGTGTGTATCTAGGTATGGTCATGTGCATATGTGTGTGTCTATGTATGGACATGTGTGTGTCTAGGTATAGTTATGTGCACATGTGTGTGTGTCATGTATGGGCATGTATGTGTCTAGGTATGGTCATGTGCACATGAATGCAGGTACCTGCAAAGGGCAGAAAGAGAGTGTCAGAGTCTCTGGAGAAACAGGTAGTTTTGAGTCACCCCAGCTGAGTCTAGGAGCTGAACTTGGGTCCTCTGCAGGAGCACTGTGCATTTGTAAAGACTGAGCCACCTCTCAGTTCACTGTATGAAACTGAGAAATACATGCTTTCTTTTTGTGTATTTTCTGAGGCATAAATGATGTGTGTTTGGCCTTTGCCTGAGCAGCGTGTTAGAGTATCTGCCTCCTTATTGTAAAGATAGTTTGAAGCCATGAATGGAGGCTTACATCTGTAGCCCCAGGACTCAGGAGCTGGAGGCAACAGGGTGAAGAATTTAAAGCCATCCTCAGCTACATAAGGTGCTTGAAACCAGCCTGAGCGAATGAGATCCTCCCTTAGAACAAATATGTCATGCAATCCAAAGCTATATAAAACCAAACATTCGATGCCATTTGTTTTTTTAAATGTATAGTCATGGGTGCCTATTTTATTTATTGTGTTGTATGTGTGTGCATGCCATAGTCACATGTGGAGGACAGAGGACGGTCTGCAGCATACCTTCTCTCCTTCCACCACGTGGGTCCCGGGAGTGAACTCAGGTCATCAGGCTTGGTAGCTATTTCCTGTGCCTCAGCAATTTACTAGAAATCAAACATCCCCCCTAAAAGCCAGGCAGTGGTGGTGCACGCCTTTAATCCCAGCACTCGTCTGGCAGAGTCAGGCGGATCTCTGTGAGTTTGAGGCCAGTCTGGTTTACAGAGTGAGTTCCAGGACAGCCAGAGCTACAAAGAGAGAAACGCACACACACACACACACACACACACACACACACACACTAAAATAAAATAAAATAAATCAAACATCCCCACGTCATAATCCAAGCCTGAAAGGAACACTTTATGTCCCCCTCCCCACTCCTCCCACTTCCCTGTGCTTCTCTGGACACTGGTTCTATCCTAAAGTCTGCTGTTTTGGTGACCCCGAGACCCCTTTAGGACTGGAACCAGTGAAGAGATTTCATGGACCAATTTCTTAAAGCACTTCCCACGGCTAAGGACAAAGAACTTGAGGAAAACCCCTCGTCCAGGAAGAGGGGCATCGACCCCACATCTATGTCCTGGGGCTTCAAGACCAGAGATGTCCGAATTACCAAGATCCCAAACCACTTCCAGGCGAAGAAGACAGAGAATATCCTGATCTTGGTGGCCTTCTCCATTGGACTTGGCAGCATGTGGCGTTTCCCATACCTGTGCCACCAGAATGGAGGAGGTGAAGCCAGAGCATGTACTGTCAGGTTAAGGAAGGGGTGTCGAGACCTCCAGGGAGGAGTGTGAGGGGTGAGGGGCTCCCAGCTGCCTGAGCAAGATCCCACCCTTCTGCAGGCAGCTTTCTGCTGATGTACCTCATCCTGCTGCTGCTGGTGGGGATCCCCCTCTCGTACATGGAGATGATCCTAGGACATTGGCTACGGATGGACAACATCCGGGCCTGGAATCAGCTGGTCCCCTGGCTAAGCGGTTTGGGCTACTCCAGCACACTGGTAGGTTGGGGCTGGCAGACCCACAGGTTCCTGGTGCCCTGCCTCCTCCATATTGCCCCTCGGTCCCACCTTCTCCTCCCCAGGCTTGTGTGCTGGTGAGCCTGTACAACAGTGCTCTGATCTCCTGGAACCTCTTGTACCTGGGCCAGTCCTTTGATTACCCTCCACCCTGGGAACAATGCAAAAGGAGTCCCCATTTCCATAAGATCACCAATATGTCTGGTAAGGAGAGGGACAGGGAGATGGGATGGTTGCAAGAGCTATTGGAGGCACCATGTAAGGTGACCTGTAAGTATCTGAATCTCCATCCCCTCCTCCCCGCAGAGTTTGAGTGCCTTCGGACAGTGCCCTTCCAGTACTTCTGGTATCACACAATCCTTCAAGTCTCCAGCCAAGTGGAGGAAGGGATTGAGACGCTGGTCCTGAACATCGCCGTGTGTCTCTTTGCCATATGGGTCTCCCTCTGTATCATCCTGATTACTAGGATAAAGATCTCAGTGCTTGTAAGTGTCCCAGTGGCCTCCCTTCTGCTGAGCCTCAGGACCTCCATCTGTCCAGAGGACAAGTTCATGTACACCCACCAGTGTCCCCAGTAAGTGTCCCATGGAAGAGGCCATAGCTACCTCAAGCGAGCTCTTGACGGGACTCTCTGGTCACCGTCCCTGACACCCACCCCCCATGCAGATACTTGTCCTAGCTCTGCTAACACCTCTACCTCCCTGGGCTTCCAGGTGTGCACGGTGGACCCTGCAGAAATGGTTTCCTTCCTAGTACTCTGTCTGTAGAGCAGGAGGTGCCTGTGTCCTGGGGAGCATCTGGCTGCCTCATACCAGTTCTTGGCACCGTTCCTACAAACAGAGACTCTGCTAGGACTAGGGGTTCGGTGTGAAGGGGCCTTTTCTCATTAGTCTTCTCACTGTGACCTGACATGAAGCAAGTTCCCTTAGGAAGGATTTTTTTTTTTGGTCACGGTTTGAGGGTATACAGTGCAGTGAGAAACGCATGGCTGGGGTTGTGCGCATCCTCGCGTCCCCACAGAACAGGAGGCGGAGGAGCCTCAGCTCTCAGATGGTGTTCTCATCCCTCTCTTATTCCATCTGAGCCTCAGGGATGTTTTCACAGACATCAAGGTAGGTCTTTCCCTGTCAGTTAATCCGCTAACAGCCCCACAGACACACCCAGGGCCATGCCTCAACCTCCTGGATGCTTCTAAGACCAGTCAGGTAGACAATGAAGATTGGTCCTCACAGGCTGGGGAGAAAGAAGCATGGGCGGACAGTGGTGATGCACGCCTTTAATCCTGGGGTTTGGGAGGCAGAAGCAGGGGAATCTCTGAGTTCAAGCCCAGCCTGGTCTAGAGAGTGAGTTCCAGGATGGCCAGGGCTACACAGAGAAACCCTGTTTTGAAAACAAACAAACAAAAGCCACAGAAGTTTGAGGGCCTGAGTTTGCTCTCCAGCACCCATGTGTAAGACCAGACAGAGGGGTGGTGGAGACAGGAGGATCCAGGGTCCTAGTCTAATCAGCGTGCTCCAGGACAGTGAGACCTGTCTCAGGAACAAGGCGGACAGTGAGAAGGAAGGAGCTAGCAGGGCCCGACTGCACGGTAGGAAGCACAGGTAAAAGGGTGGAACAGAAACATAAGAGACTTTGGATCCAGGAACGTGATTCTGGGCGGTTTGGGAGTGTGGGTGACATTGGAGGGGGTGCTGGGACGCTCCTGTCATACATAACCTTTTGTGTGTGCAGCGGGGTATGCACAAGCCCGTGGAGGCCAGAGGTCAACCTTTGGTGTCTTTCCTTAGGCACTGCCCTCCTCGTTCACCTCCCACTGACCGGCTCACTCTCCAGCCCCCCCCCCCCCCAACACCTCCCTTCTCCTCATAGCATCCTGCCCACCCTCAACTTTACTAATATTTTCTCTCTCTTCCTTCTCCTGCTTCTTGTGACCTACCTGCCTAGATGCTGATTTTCTCCATATTCTTCCCCTACGTCCTCCTCTTCTGCTTCTTCATCCGCAGTCTCTTCCTGCAAGGTGCCATGGCCAGCCTCAGGCGCCTGGTGACCACAGAGGTGAGTCCCTCTCTGCCTCGCTCCCCAGGCCCGTCGGCCTCCTCTCACCGGGGAACCCTCTCCTCCGCAGCTCTCTATCTTGTCATCGCTGGACACGTGGCGCCAGGCTGGCGGCCATGTGCTCTACTCCCTTGGCCTTGGCATGGGCACCATCATCACTTTCTCCTCCTACCAGACCAGAGGTGACAACTACATCAAGTTGGCCTCCTTTATGGCCATGGTCAACCTGGTAACGTCATTGCTGAGCACGGCCATCATCTTTCTGGTGCTGGGCTTCTGGACCACAACCAGCGGACCCAGCTGTATTGAGAAGTGAGTGGCATAACCTGGCGATGCCAGCAGAAGCTTTCCCACCCCGGCTACCCTTCCGCACCACAGTCCTGTGGGTCAAACCCTTCCGTTGGCACCCACTTCACCTCATCTTCAGAGTAAACAACCAGAAAAGGTAGCCCACCAATGCCCACTCTTAACAGAGGAGGACAGTTCCAGAAATTGCAGACGAAGCTAAGGATCATTTTCAAGTTGCTTATTTACCCCGCAAGGCTGCTGTCACAGCTGCCATGATGTCACAGCTGCCACGATGCGGGCGGCAGCTGTTGGCGTGGACTGTCTTTGAGTTGGGAAGCACTAAGTTTGAGCTTTGCCAAGTTGCTCTGCTTTATTGGTTCCAGGTGTAGCCAAATACTGGGGTGTGTTTGTTTCTTTTTTTGTTTGTTTTGTTTTGTTTTGTTTTGTTTTTGTTACTTGAGACAAGGTCTCACTGTCTATCCATGGCTGGCATGTACTTCACTCTGTAGACCAGGCTGGCCTCACAATCGTGAGATCTGCCTGTCTCTGCTTCCCAGTGCTGGGATTAAAGGTGTGTGCCAGGACTAGGGAGATTGCTCAGTGGTTAAGAGCACTGACAGCAGCCAGGTGGTGGTGGCACACTCTGGAGGCCCTGGCAGTTGATTCTCTGAGTTTGAGGTCAGCCTGATCTACAGAGTGAGTTCCAGGACAGCCAGGGCTACACAAAGAAGCCCTGTCTCGAGAAACCAAAACAAATACGCAAACACAAAGAACACTTGCTGCTCTTCCATAGGACCCTGGGTTCACTACTCAGCACCCACATGGTGACTTACAACCATCTATATAGGTCCAGCCCAGGGATGCAACACCCTCTTCTGGCCTCTGAGGACATTGCCCACACAAGGTAGACAGACACACACATACATGCAGACAAAAAACAACTATATACACAAGATAATAAAGGTATGTGCTATCACAATGGGCACAGAACTGGTATACACTTTGAATTATTCTTTTATCTTTTGAGATATTGTCATGTAATTTCCCCTCCTTCCCTCTGAGTCCTCCCACAAGCCTCTCCCTGCTCTTTTGTTTCATTGCTGTGGCATTCAGAGACTTAGCAGTTTTCCTTCCATTTAGGATGTCAAGGGTTAGCAGCCATTTCTGTCTGTCTGTTTGCTTGGTGAATGTGTGCACCTGCACCTGCACATCTGGGCACGCATGTGGAGGTCAGAGCACAATTTTGTGGAGTCTACTTCTCTCTTGTGTGGTTCAGAGATCAAACTCAAAGTTTGAATGGCAAGTGATTTGTCCACTGAACTATATCATGGGCCTAACACTTTTGAGTTGTTTTGTTTTTTGAGACAGGGTTTTTCTGTGTGGCCCTGGCTGTCCTGGAACTCGCTCTGCAGACCAGGTGGGCCTCGAACTCAAAGATCCACCTGCCTCTGCTTCCTGAGTGCTGGGATTAAAGGTGTGCATTACCACCACCTGGCTTTTTTTTTTTTTAAAGACAGGGTCTCACATCACCAAAGCTGGCCTTGATCTGTCTATGTAGCTAAGGATGACCTTGAACTTCTGACTCCCCTTGGCCTATGGAATGCTGAGGTGACAGGCATGTGCCACCACATCCAGCTTGCACCCGAGGAGACCACACTGCGCATGTGCTGCGGTAACTGTCAGCTCCAGACTCCAGTGTTCAGGCAGAGACTGTGTGAGCCAGGGTGCAGGGAAGCTAGAGGAAGCCTTGTCCAAACTCATGCCACTGCCTTTGGAGACAGTACTTCTCACAGTCAAAGCACTTGCACGGGGATTCCACTGACAGACATCTGAGCCACAACTTTGTTCAGTGACCCAAATGATGACTGACCATTGTCTACCTGTAGGTAAACATGGAAGTGCAATCTGAGACCCTAGCAATAAGATTTCATAAAAAAGTTAGCATAACCATCCAACTAATGGAATACTAGGCACTAATGGAAAGGACTTGACTAGTGCTGTGTTTTGGGGCCTTCACATCTTAGACACTGTCTTAGCTCGGGTTACTATTGCTGTGAAGAGACACCATGACTACAGCAACTCTTGTAAAGAAAGCATTTAATTGGGGTGGCTCACTTACACACACACACACACACACACACACACACACACACCATACTACACCCACAGCACATACACACACCACACACATCATACACTCACTATACACATCACATACATCACACAGCACACACACACATACCACACTATACCCCCAGCACATACACACACCACACACATCACACACTCACCATACACATATACCTCACACACATCACACACTCACCATACACATCATATACATCATATACCACACACACAGACATCACATACATCACACACACACACATACACACACACACACCATACACACATCACATAC